TATTGTTATTATTATTATTAGATGATCTATTACGTGGTTACTATAAGAACAAAGATTGTTCAAGATCACTTGATATCAAGATACAGATGATGTTATTTCCACTCTCAAAAGAATCCCAAGTACCAGAACACATGTACATGTACACTATCATCATGTGTGTTTAGTTTGCTTTGGAATTAATAACATTATGTTAAACTCTTCGCTAATTAATATTTTTTACAAATTATTTTTAAAAAGCAATAATAATGAAGCAAATCAATTATATCAAGCATCAATATTAATATTAAAATCAAGTCCCAGTTCATTTCTAATAGCTTCAATCCAGTCCTCACCTAAAGCTATTGCTGCATCAGCATAACTGCCTCTTACAGCAATGAATGAGCTTAAGAACTTTTGACAGTGCTCCTGCACTTGAGGTAACTTCCTCTTAAAACTAAGACTAGCCTTGAACTCTGTAATAAACTTTTCCATGCTACGAGTCTCTCTGACTTCATCACTAATAAGATGAGCTGCATATAACTGACTGGCAAGATCTGAGAGAGACGTCTTAAGAGAATTGAGATCAGCATAATGAGATACAAGAACATCATCAATCACTTTCTTTACTTTATTGACATCAACAGTAGCTGATGGACCTAATAGAGGTCAAAGGTCAGTATATACACACAGTATTAATACTTACTAGCTCCTCTAGTGGATGATAGTGACGTTGATTCATGTACTACATTAGAGGAGGATGAGGTAGTAGGACCTGTAAAATGAGGTAACATATACTGCAAAATTTTCGAAGGCTGTAAATTTCACAAATTTGTTTTAAAATCTATTTTGTGGTTTTAATTTTCGCAAATTTATGCTGTCTGCCATCTTGTACTGGAATAATTAGTTTTTGCAATTTAAAAAAAAAATTGTGAAATCCACAAAATTTACAAACGTCGAAATTTTTGCGATTTGGTATATTTCAATCATCATTGACTTACTCATTGATGGAGGAAGAGCAGGAGGTGATTTGTTGATGTAGACAATTTTTGAAGGATCTATTCCAGTTAATTTAATAGGACAATGAAGTGGATCCTGAGCAATACCAGGTTTAGCATACACTGACATACTGCAGCTTGAGTACAATGGGTTCAATGGAAAATGATCAATTGTAGACTGAAATAACTACAGTATAGTAAAGACACGTATAGTAATGTTATAGTACAGAACAAACTTACCTCCATTGGTTCTCTGTCAGGATCAACAGTCCATCCTAACTGTAGTTGAGTAGTTTCTAAAAGCAACAAAAGTTTCCCATTTGGTTCAGAAAATTTGAAAAAGTCAACGTCATTACCAAGCTCAGCATTAGGATGATTTGTACTAATGTACTACACAGAATAACATTAAAATCATAATAATACAAATAATATGCATACTTGTTTAAGTACTTCCAAATCTCTAACTACAGAATATATTACCCTCCAGTAACCAACTTTCTTTTCTTCATGATACATCATTCCAGTATACAGTACATCATTTTGAATTAAAGCTATAATTATAAAAAATTATTAATGTTGATTGTGTATAGATACGGCCACAAACCTTTGTCCTTATTTGGTTTTTGTTTCACTTCATCTTCAGTTGATTCATTGCTAACATTAGATGCACCTAACAATA